TTGTAATCGCCCAAGCTCACCACTAACAGATATTGTCCGCTTTGACCTGTTATGTATCAACGTTAGCCTCACGGTTTTAAAACGCGTTTACTAGGGAGAGGTTTCCACACTCTTATAAGGAATGTTTTGTTCCCCTCTCCAACCGACGTGGGATCTCACATCATTTCTCATTTCTCATGCACACCCTTCTAGTTTGATTGGAGATTTTGCAGGCTGGGAATTTTATCTACTGTGTGTTTTTGTTGTTCTTGAAGAACGCTTGGAGGTCAATGGATAATTATTAGAACAACTCTTATCTAAATCGACTTTAAAAAGTCATTATCCAAACATGTTTTCGGTCTCGAGAACCATTCTTGTAACATCATTCTCAAACAGCACACAGTTAGTTCTGATAGTACATTTGGTCCGAGCATTAACGGTGTCGGTTTCGGTTTTCCAGGCCATCCCTGGCTTCAGGTTGATGGAGTGGCTCCAGATAAACCTCTTGATTCTGCAGTCTTGAGTCGTTTGAAACAGTTTTCTGCAATGAACAAGCTCAAGAAAATGGCTTTGAGAGTAAGTCTTTGGGTTTCTCAACCTAAACTGAAAATGGAATTTGTCTCACTTGAACCTGTTTTTGTGCTTCTCCTTCTTTCAGGTCATTGCTGAGAGCCTCTCCGAAGAAGAGATCGCCGGGTTGAAGGAAATGTTTAAGATGATCGATACCGACAACAGCGGCCAAATTACGGCTGAAGAGCTCAAGGATGGACTCAACAGATTTGGAGCAAATCTGAATGAGACTGAGATAAAAGATCTTATGCAAGCTGTAAGTTCTAAAAACAATTCAAATGTGTTCGTTCGACTCGATTAGCTCATACGTATCTCTCTAACGAAACGCTACTTATTTCGAAACGCAGGCTGATTTTGACAACAATGGCTGCATTGACTATGGAGAGTTCATAGCAGCAACACTTCATTTGAACAAAGCTGAGAGAGAAGATCATCTCTTTGCAGCTTTCCAATACTTTGACAAGGACGGGAGCGGTTATATCACGCAAGACGAACTTCAAAAAGCCTGCGAAGATTTCGGCATCGAAAGCATTCACTTGGAAGAGATGATCAGAGAAGTCGATCAGGACAATGTAAGCATCTACTTCATTTCTTTTCTTGACATACTTCTCACTCTTACAACTACTACAACTAGAAACAATGAAATGGGATGATCTGGTTTGGATTTGTGTTCATCTAAACGATCACTATAACTCGTTATCCAGGACGGTCGAATCGATTACAACGAGTTCGTGGCGATGATGCAGAAGGGAAATGGTGATTTGGGGAAGAAGGGTCAACAGAGTACTAACTTTAGCATTGGTTTTAGGGAGGCACTTCCTGTTTGTTAGCAAATCAGGAGAAATTTTCCCTCTCTTTCTCTCACAAATTCTTTCTTGTGACTGTATAAAATCTGTACAAGGTTTAACTATTGCTTCGTTTTGATAAGTAAAATGTAAATTATCTGCTTCTTTTAGAGCTCGACTCATTATTTATGTCAGCCAAAACATGTATCTATATATGTGTGTGTATATATATATATATATAGCTTCGGTTACAAGGGTTCGTAACAAGTTTCCTTTACAATGTCATTTCTCCTATAATAGAACGTAATAGTCAAGTTAAAACACACTTTTTGTGAGATCTCACATCGATCGAAAAGAGGAACGAGTGCACGCGAGAACGCTGGTCCCTAGAGGGGGTGGATTGTTAGATCCCACGTCAGTTGGGGAGGAGAACAAGACATTCTTTATAAAGATGTGGAAACCTCCCGAGTAAAACTTTGAGGGCAACTCGAAAGAGAAAACTCAAATAGGACAATATTTGCCAATAGTGGGCTTGGACGATTACACTTCTAGTCCTTACACTTTCGAAAAATTATTAACGAATTTCATTTTTGTATTGATTTAAGCATATGTACTTTTAAATTATAACAATTTAGTCCTTAAACTTTAGGTAACATGTAACAATTTAATTTCTACCACAAAAAAAAGTATATTAGAATTTAATTTTTATAATGATTAAATAATGTAATGTCCCATCAAAATTATTAAGGGAATGATTCTCTACGAGGTTCATGTACTTGCCTTTAACATACACAAAAACACAACTATGTAAGCTTCACAAAGTTATTTCACATGGATTTATGTTCAAAGTCCGAAAGTCGAGAAGATCTAGGGTAAGCACTCATGCTAGCACGATGGCGCTATGGGTGGATATGCATAGGGTCTAGGAGGGCTCGGGGCTCGGGTATCTCTTAACTTTCAATTTTATATCTAACTGATCCGATTAAAAAAAATTCAAAAAATTTAATTAAATAAATAAATTTGTTTAATATAAAAAGGGCATAAAAATGGAAAAGTCCAGGGAACGGGGTTTGAATGCAACGCACCACCCACAAAATCCCATATTTGAGAGAAAAAAACGTGAGAATACGTTTGGGCCCACAAAATGGACGGCCAGGATTCTCTTTCCCAAATCTACGATTCCATTCCTTCAATCTTCCCCGCAGGTTGTGACAGCTCATGCTCAGTTGGACTAAGTGATTGGGCGCCACCTCCATCTCCTAACGTGGAGACCAATCACGTTGCTCGATCCTGCCACGTCAGCTACATCATGTGGGTCCCTGCTGTGACTCCCCAACATACAGTCTCTTTCCCCATGTTCTCAAATAGTTTTGTTTTTCTTCTCTCTGCTGGCTTCAATCATTGGCTGATTTATTAAATTACTCTTTTGCCCTCCTTTCCCTTTTGCTAAACTACTTTGCCCCTGGTTCATAAAAATTTAACCATCGCTCACCGTAACAAATCAAGCCTACCGCTAAATAGATATTGTCTGTTTTAACCCGTTATATATCATTATTAGTTTCACGGTTTTAAAATACGTCTACTGAGAAGAGGTTTTCCATACCCTTATAAGAAATGTGGGATCTCACAATCAATAAATCAATGGTCTCTCTACTTCTTCCTCTGATTCTAAGACGTTGTAGGACTTAACCTAACACCTTACAACATGAACCGACAACACGTTCCCAAACAATCCCTTTTTTCGAGAGGATTAGCAGCAGTCAAATCAATCCATTGTTGTAATTGCGTAATGTCATCATCAAACTTTGATTTTTGATGGTTAAAATAATAAATATATAAATAAAACTTTAATTAATGGGGTAAGCAAAAGAAAATGAAGGGTATTAATAAATAATTATGTAACACATCCTTTTAAATATAAATGTAATCTTATGTCTAATGATATGACTAATCGATTCATTTCTTTATTTTTATTTTTTAATTTAACTAAATTTTAAAAAATAAAATTAGTTTATTTAAAAAAAAAATTATTTTATTTTTTGGAATTTTACTGAATAAAAACGTTTGGAAAACATATATACAATTTTAAAAAATTATGATTATCAAACTATTTTAATAAGCGATCACAATTTAATTTTGATTTTATCCATAACTATAATTTTAATTAATGTAGATTTTTAAATATTAATTTAATTTAATTTGTTTGATCTTAATTAATGTAGTTTTTTTTTCTCTCTCTATAGCGTCTTGATGGCTAAGATCAACCACTTGGAGAATGTGGAGCCTTTCTTTCTCGGTCATCTACTCACTCCGTGTGGGGAAATTCTTGAGCCGAAAACGCTTTTCCTTCTTTTTCGTCACACAAGCAAGCAAGAAAAAAAAAACCTAACTGAATTGGTTTTGATAAATTTTTCTTCTGTTTACCGGTCCCAGTTATTTGAGTTTTATCTTTGACGTCACGGATTTTTCATCAGAAGACTAAAGGAGGTCGCGGGTTGCACGTTGGCAATAACGTTATCTGAGTATGAGCGGGATACTTCTTTTTTGTTCCCTTCCAAAAAGAATGAAATGCATAGGGAACCATCTTTTTGTTGCGGTTTTGATTTTCTTCTACTCTCTGAAAAGAAACTCCTCTCGATGTTGATAAGAATGAATCTTTCGATGTGACTATATATATATTCCTTTTATCCTATTAAATTAATAATTTAGTTTAAGACTTTTTAAATATATTCACAGCATTCAACTAAATAAAATAAATAAATAAAAATAGTTGGAAATTAAAGTAGAATTATCCTAAAAGTTAGGGACTAAAATGCAAAAAATAAGAAATAGTTAGAAATTAGAGTAGAATTACCCTAAAAGTTAGGGACTAAAATGCAAAAAAATAAGAAATAGTTAGAAATTAGAGTAGAATTACCCTGAAAGTTACGGACTAAAATGCAAAAAATAAGAAATAGTTAGAAATTAGAGTAGAATTACCCTAAAAGTTAGGGACTAAAATGCAAAAAAATAAGAAATAGTTAGAAATTAAAGTAGAATTATCCTAGGATTAAAATGAAAAAAATAAAAATATATATATATAGTTAGAAACTAAAATAGAATTATCCTAAAAGTTAGGGACTAAAATGCAAAGTTTAAATAGTTGTGATTGACAACATTCTTGAAAGCATCTCCCAAACCACTTGGCATCTCTCCCACTGTTCAAAGGTTTTGAAGAACAAAATGGCTTTTTGGTCATTTTAGAATTTCCCATTTTTTTCTATCCATTTTCATAGAGAAAGATAAATAAATAATCCTTTGTAGCTTCCTGTACCAACTTTCTCTGCACTCTGTCTTTATCTCTCATCATACACACCATTGTCACCAACCTTCTGTAGCTTTCATGGTGAATTCTCTCAATCACTACAACCATTCAAGTGCTTTCTAATCTAAACCGCTTTCGATCTGCTTTTCTACTCTTGCTCTCTTTCAGTCTCCCATCCTTAATTTCCATTCAATCTTTTCCATAATTTTGTCTTTGAATTCTCTGATCCTTATTGGGATTTGAGTCTCTGTTCTTTGCTTCTTCTGTTTAAATTCAAGAGAATCCCAAAATCCCCATACCCAATTCGTATTGGGACGGGTTCTTATTGATTTTGTAAGTTTTTTTTGTGTTTCTTCCTTCAATCAATTGGGTTTTGGGTTTTTGTTATTTCTGGAAATTTTCTGTTGATTTTCTGGTTCTGTTTGTGTTAATTTGGTGAATGAATTTATGAGTTTTGTGTTTCTTGATGTGGGTTTCTTGTTTTCGTTCTCATTTCTGCTTTCGTCTTCAATGCCCTCCACCTGTTTGATGAAAGTCCGCATAGAATAATTGTTTTGTGACTCCTCTGTTTGGTTGTGATAAAAGATGTCAGAATCATAGATGAGGAGAGACAAGTGTATCCGAGAGTAAATATTTGCACATGGAGGCTAATTGTTTTCTTTGTATAGTTTTGAGGCCTTTGAATCATGTCGGATATAGTAATGTTAAGCTTTTTGGGCTGTCAGTTTTTGGAATGTACTGTCGTCACCATGGAGCTTGATATGATGGGAATACCTTTTTCAAGTTAGAACCATATGTTTTTGGGGTAATTTCTCCAATGGTTTTGTAAAAAAATCAAAGGGGCATTCACTCATCTCGTATTCATCAGGTGGTCATTCAACCTTTTCAAATTGTCTTGTTAAGGGATCTGTAATCTTTCATATATGCTGCAAGCCTCATTCATGCTAAACTTATAGCTTGACTTTTTGGTGTTCTTCTGGTAGTCTAAGCGTTGCAATACTTTATTTGTCACGTTGTCCTATAGGCATCACGGAATATAGCTTTCTTTTTCCACCTTTGTTCTTATCTTTAAGCCGTTTCGATTGGAGTTCATCTTAGATTTCTTTTATCTGCACTTGGGTTCTTATAACATCTTCTCAATTGATGTTGCTAAGGATCTTTTCACTTATCAGGTGATGGAATCTGAAAATGGAGTTATTGAGATGCCACAAGTGGATAATTCAGCTGTGGTTTTGACAAATGAGGGTGAGATTGTCGACGACAGTGGTCAAAAAGCTCCTGCTCTGAATGAGATTTTAGAACCAGTGGCAGAAACCGAACATATTAGTTCTTCCAAAACTAAGATACAAGCCACTGCGACTGTTCCCAAGAGTAAAAGTGTAAAAGCTTCGAAGGTATTTTCATTGGGCTATTCTCTCATTGATAGGTCATTGGACATAAATGGTTGACTCTTTGTGTGAGATCCCACATTCGGATGGAGAGGAGAACGAAATATTTCTTATAAGGGTGTAGAAACCTCTCCTTAGCAGATGCGTTTTAAAAACTTTGAGGGGACGTCCGAAAGAGAAAGCCTAAAGAGGACAATATCTGCTAGCGGTGGGCTTGAGCTGTTATAAATGGTATCAAAGCTAGACAAGAAAACGGTGTGTCAACGAGGACGTTGGGCCCCCAGGGGGGGTGGATTAGAAGATCCTACGTCGGTTGGAGAGGAGAACAAAACATTCCTTATAAGAGTGTGGAAACCTCTCCCTAGCAGACGCGTTTCAAAAACCTTGAGGAGAAGTCCGAAAGGGAAAGTCCAAAGAGGACAATATTTGCTAGCGGTGGGCTTAGGTGGTTATACTTTGGATTCCTAATAAATTCTAGTTCACTTCAGGAACCTGGAACAGCAGTAGGTTCTTCAAAGAAGAACAAACTGGCTAAGGAGAAACCAAGTTTAACAGGCCTTGCGCAGTCTCCTCGTCCAAACAGGCGAGCCCTCTCTCAGAGCCTTTCATTTCCTGCAAGAGGGGGTGGTAGCGATGTAATGGACAAAAGCATTGACAAATATCCAGTTAAAACAGCCACCAAGCGCACAGGGGAAAATGGTATTAAATCAAGGACCCAAATATCTGACGGTTCTCAATTGAAGAATCCATTAAACAGAGTGATCTCTAAGGGAGTAAATAAAAACACTGGCAATAGTGCCCAAAGATCATCATTGGCATCTATTTCTGGCCATTGCTCCTCTGTTGTAAGATATTACTTTTCCTTTCAAATTTGTCCTCTGCTTCTCCAGCTTCATTTAACTAACTATACTATAATTTTGTCTCTAACCAGCCTATGAAAAATGCTATGGTGAATTCGACTAGCGATTCGCCTCTGTCGGAATCTGCTGTGTAAGCCAATGCACTCGACCGTGAAAGTGTGACAATTTTCCTATGAAAAGGGCAATCTGTTAACACCCAGTTGTGTTCAATTGCAGATCTGTTGAACAGAAACCAAAACCAGGGAAAACAACAGTTCCCCCTTCAGAGGATGATGATGCTCACTCCACTTCTTCGTACGCTTCTCGTTCTCGAGGCTGCTATTAATAATACTTGTGTATTTCTGTTTGTTGTAGTTTGGATTCTTCATAACATACTGAAGTAATACTTTTTATTACCAACAGAAGTGCCACTCCACATGCAAGGAGAAACAGTTGTCCTGGTTTTGCTTTCAGGTTGGATGAACGTGCTGAGAAAAGGAAGGAGGTTTGGATGGACTTATGTTTTCTTCATGGCTTGTTTGTATGTTGTTTTACCTGCAGAAAACGTTACATTTTTCAATTCTTCAATGGCAGTTCTTTTTGAAATTAGAAGAGAAAATCCAGGCAAAGGAAGTTGAGATAACTAATATGCAGGCTAAATCTAAGGTATTACAGATAGCACATTTGAACCACGATAGCACTTCGCCGCCCTCCCCTCCCCCGGACCGCCCCCCACCTTGTCCTGTTGTAACTTTTACAAGGACTGGACTCATTTTCTGCTTCGAATACCTTGCAGGAAAGCCAGCAAGCAGAGATTAAGCAGCTGAGAAAGAGTATGACATTTAAAGCAACACCAATGCCAAATTTCTACAAGGAACCTCCTCCAAAGCCTGATCTAAAGAAGGTTAGTGAATTATTTGTCGATACTATCAGACTGGGCACTTAAGGATCCAAATTAATTGATAAATGCCGATGTCGTTCGATTTTGTTGTGACTGGCCACACACGATGGACTGTTTTTCAGTGGCATTCTGTATGAATTCAGTTTGATGAACACATGTTCTTCTATTCTTCTGTTCTTCTGTGATTTGGATTATATGAACCATATTTGCGTTGATTTGCATAGATACCAACCACCCGTCCAATATCTCCCAAACTGGGTAGAAATAAGAGCTTGGCTACTGAAGTGGGCACCTCCGTTCACAGTCCAGGCCAAAACAGTGAACCGAGCAATTCACCGAAGGCGTTCCAGGCTAAATCCGATAAAGAAAATGTTAGTTTGAAGAAGGCAGCTAAGAAGCCTCAGACCAAGCTCCAGCCAAACGATACCGAAGGAGCTTCCATCAAGCCAAAGCCAAAGCCAAAGATCAACAAACCCGAAAGACAGCACTCGAATCCTGTCGTTGCAGGGACGACAAAACAGCAGGATGTCCAGCCCATTGACCGTCTTGAATCAAATGACTCAGGTCCTCCCAACAAGGAGGAACCAACAACCGCAGCCTCACCAGAGATCATGGCAGCTGAAATTTCTGTTGGAGGCTAAGAACACTCAAAAGTTCTCACTTCCAAGACATCAGATTTAGAGGTTTGAAATTTTTTATGGTAAGTATTGTGAATAGAATGTTTTAAAACTTTTTTACGTCAAAATTATAAATTTGCAACATAAGTATTTGTTCTCTCCATTTGTTTTTTTTTTTCATCAAGTTCTTGTTAAGATATAAATATAGATATATAGATATATAGATTATGCTCTTTATGAATTGATTGCATTTATAATGGCATATGTTCTTTGCCCTTTGCCTTTGTTTACAGGTTCACAAGTACTCTTACTTCCCTCGTTTTTCTTTTTTCTTGCATTAATGAAAATAGCTTCTACCATTGAATTTCCACAAGTGTTTCAAACATATACTTAACTTTCAAAATTTTTCTGTTTTAAAAAAATTCAATCAAAAGTTACATTAATATTTTTAAACATTTTTAAAAAGCAAGAAGAAGATACTCTTATCATTAGTATATGAACGGAATCATTAGTACCAAATTTTTAAAATATTCACAAACTTTTAAAAGCAACATGATTGATGAATGAAATATTGGATTGAGAGGGTATAACCATCTTTCGGCTAACCTAGCCTCCTCCGTCCCTCGAGACCAACAAGGGGTAGTAAAAGAATATTCACTTGTTGCCCATCGACTATGCCTTTCGGCCTAATCTTAGGCCCTAACTCACCCTCCGTTAGGGTTCTGCCTTGTTATCAAAAAGAGAGTTGGGTAAAACAAACTCCCTTCTTGGACGAGCACGACTGAATATATATTAAAAAGGTCAATCCCTCCCCTAAGACACCAAAAAAAACCGGGCCGAACTTCTACCCGAAGAAGAGAAAAATATGAGAAATGAGATATTTTTGTAAGTATTTAAGTCGGGTGTTCGAAGAAATTGAGGCATCCATGGAAAGAAAATAAAGAAAAATACATAATTTTTTACAAAAAAAAATATTTTGGATGCAAACATCGGCAGTGAATAAACATTCATTAATAATAATGAACAGAAAAATATTAACCCAAAATTTCTACATTATCCTGTGCGGGTTTTCCCGAGAAAATTTCTACATTTTCTTGCTCTCCAATCATCTTTCCAGTCCATTTCATATCTGCAGCATCGTCACAAGTACAGATTGTCAAACCCTTTTTATAAAACTATTTATTTATTTATTAATTATTATCTTTTAGAACATATTCTTTTAAAAAATAGCTCAATAATTGAGTGTATTTTTAATTTAGTCCCTATTCTTTAATCAAGTTTTTAAAATATAAAGGACTCAATTCAAACTTACCACTTGGTGTAAATGATTATTCTTGTTTTGGGTGTAAAGTTGAGAGGTTTATTTGTCATTGGCATGATGAGAAATGAGAGTCCTGCCCTAAGGCTCCAAGCATACTACATGTAACTTCCATCACCTTCCCTGCAATTCGTATAACAACAAAGAAAAGTGTTACGGTTTTCAGCGGTTGAGTCCGTACAACGGTAAACTCGTCTCCATCGAGAATAAAGAAATTGGTTCACCCAGATTCCACCCTCTCGACTATAATGATCCAGATCTAACTCAAGTCCATCGCTAGAAGATATTGTCTACTTTGACTCATTAGATTTCACTGTCACCCTTACGATTCTAAAACGTGGCTATTAAGTAGATGCCTTCACAAACACTGATTCATTCTCCCCTCCAACCGACGTGGAATCTCACAATTCACTCTCTTGGAGGCTATCGCCTAGTGTCTGGGTCTGATATCATTGTGAGATGTCACGTTGGAGAGGAGAACAAATCATTTTTCATAACCGTGTGAAAAAATCTCACTAATAGATGCGTTTTAAGACTTTGAGGGAAAGCCTTGCATGTTACCATAGTTCTTTTCTACCATCTTTTAAGTTATCGGGCCAATTTGCATGCATCTTGATGGACAACCTCCTAACCCTACAACTAGTTGTCGAGGTAACTCGTAAAATATTAAACCGTACGTAATCCATTCTAAATCAATTTCTATGTCTCTAATGCATAAATTAAAAGTGAATGGAAGAAGAAGAAGAAGATATACCTCGTATTGGTTTAGTGGCAACTTTGATAGCTGAATTTGATTTCTTCTCAGCTTTTTCCTCCAATGGAAACAGAACTCCATCAATTCCCTGCACAGAAATCCGACCATCTGTGTATATATCAGGGTCGAACAGATAAGCAGAGCCTTCACCTTGCCCGAATTTCACTGACCCGTCCGCCTCCTGCGCTGCCACCGCGTGTGGCAGCCGGAGCGTTTGATACCGAACTTTCCCAAATCGCCGAACTGCATTGTACATACTTTCCTCCGTTTGATACTCCGGTATCACATGGTAGTACATGATCTGCTCCGGCGCCCCTGGTTCGCTCAGCTGATCGACCGTCAGCTTCGCCATCGCTTCATCGTTCGGGGCGAGAACTGTTAGAACGTACCCTTCGGAGACTAATCTCCCCATCTCTGTGGCTAGAGATGTCAAATTCACTAAAATGTCAGCCATCTCGTTGTAGCCGCCGTAATGTAGCAGCGTTTCGATGAAATCCTTCACCTGCCGCTCTCCGTCGAAATGGTGGTGGTGTCCACCGGGGCCGGGAGCCGGTGCAGGAGCGAGAGAAGGGCCAGGAGCTAAAGCGTCATAGATTGTCAAAACGGGCGGCGCTCCAGCAGGGATAGGCGGCGACGGCTTCTTCAAGCGATGAGTACGTGGATCGACTTCCGGTGCACCTTCAGGCAAAACGGCGGAAATCGACTGCAAATTCCTCCGCCGGTTGAAATCCTCTTGCACAGAACGGGGAATCAATAACCGTTCGATTCCGTGGATCACTCCATCGGGACGAACAACGTGATCGGGACGAATAATCTCAGCCGAATCAACAAATCGCTTCCCGGAAACGGAGTACCCCAAATGCAAATACGAATTCCCCAAAGTCCAATGTCGAACCGGTGAAGAACGATCATCCGGCCAATGATTCGAGGCAACCCTAATGGGAACAATGTGGGACATCAAAAGCGTCTGAAGCGATTTCAAATTCCTCGGCTCAAGCAGAAACCTCTTAAACTCAGGGTCGAACTGGCGCTCAAGAGCTTGATTCGTGGGAGCAAAAATGGTGAGATTATGGTTCCCAACGGCGTTCTCTAGGGTTTGGAGCAAGAGAGCTTTGTCAACAAGCTCTGCAAATTCAATGTAGTGGGAGTCGAGAAGGGCGACGAGGATGGAGTTGGAGTTGATCTGGGGAGCGGCGGAGGAGGAGGAGGAGGAGGGGAATTTGGGAGGCGGATCACGGCGGAGGGCGGCGGAGGAGAGAGGTGAAAGGGAGAGGAAGGAAAGAAAGAGGAAGAGAGTAGAGACGGCATTGGAGGAGGAATCCATGGCGGTGAGAGATGAAAGGGGAAATGGAAGTGGAAGTGGAAGAGAGCGGGAAATATTTGGAGGGGAAAGTGTCGGTGTCGGCGAGAGAGAGGGAGTTGGGAGTGGGGACAGAGAGGAAGTAACAATGGAGGACGACGAGAGAGAAGAGGGCGGAGGAAGAAGAAGGCTGTTGACGGCGAAACAACAGGCTGGCGCCTTCCGGACCCACGCGGTACTGACACTGACACACACTGCCTGCTCACCGCCCTCTTATAAAGGGTGTCACTGGGTTCTTTATTATACATTTTTCCAAATTTAATTTAAATTTTTGTTTTTAATAAAATTATATTTTATTTTATAAAAATATTTTAATTAAAATTTACAACTCAATTTAATATATACTAAAAATTACTTTCTTAATAATTTTAGTATATATTAAAAATTATGGTTCGGAGTGGATTGAGAATAAATAATAAAATATATAGATATAAAATTAATAATAAATTCGGTTTAATTAATGAAAGAATGTCATCAATTGTTTACATGCTGGTTTATTAGCATATTTGTTACTTAACGTTTGTTTTTATTGTCGGTGATGTTAGTCTATTTGGTAGGTATGTTGTTCCAGTCGAGACTAAATGAGGAGAGGACAATAAGGACATTCACATGACGTCGAGTGTACCCAAAAAATAATTAATTTTGAGACATAAAGATATCTTTCTGAATGCTTACCAACCAACCTCAAAATCTAAATATTCAAACAAATATCTTACTACTTTTTTTATTTTTTTTTTTTCAAAACAAAAATAATGGAATAGAGATAGCTTACCAAGGCGATGATCAGTAGCACCGGGACTAAGACACGGCTGATAAAGATAAAACTTGTTTGGTATGCACACGAGCATCAGCTATGAAAGCCATAAGTAGTCTTATGTTTAAACGAACAGTTGAAGAATCATTACTCGAGGGAAACACTTTTTAATATGAACATTCAAATAAAATTCAATTCGAAAAGGGTAAAACCCATCGAGACAGAGATTTTCTTAATGTGTTTTTGTGTATAGAAAAAGTTAGATACAAGATGTCCAGATGGTAAGCTTTTCTCCCAATCTCCCTCCCCTCTTTCTTCTTCCTTATTGGGTTTTTTTCTTTTTTTTCTTCCAGTTCAGACAACAATCAACAACATGAAATTCTTCAACCCTTTTTGTCTGCAAACGCATCTGTTCCTCAGCATATCACCTCTGGAGAATATATATATATAGTTTCACCTGCTTCATAATTCATCTTCACATCAGACCAAAAAATGGAGAAGCTCGTATAATAAACATCGTTTCAAAAACTCATAGTTCCAAGTAAGCTCGGTTGTCATCTTAGTTGATGACAAATGTCTTGACTAGTTGAGTAATTATAAGTTCTTTGCTTGCCTACCGCTAGCAAACATTGTTCTGAGTTTTCTCTTTCGAGTTTTCTCTTTCAAGTTCTCCTAACGGGTTTGCTAGGGAAAGGTTTCTACACCCTTATAAGGAATGTTTCGTTCCCCTCTCCAACCGATGTGGGATCTCACAATTATACAATACAAACTATAGAATAGACCAAGGTGCCTTCAATGGAGGGATTAACATCATGTTTACTATTGGCTAGCTTTCACTTTCACATTTCCCTATGGCTAATGATTCTTAAAGATAATAACTGGAGAACTTTTCCATAATTTTAGGGCGTCCCCATTTTGTGCTCCTTTTGCAGTGGGCTACCTTCCGCTTTTCTTTTCTTTTTTACTGCCCTTTTGAATTCTTTTTGAGGCCGATTAGGAGATATGGTCCTCTTTCGGCTTTCCCTTTCAAATTTTCTCTTAAGGTCTTTAAAACGCGGCTACTAAGGAGAGGTTTCCACACTCCTATAGGGAAAGCTTTGTTCCCCTCTCCAACCGAGGGGGATCTCACAATCCACCCCCTTTCAGGGCCCAAAGTCTTCACTGGCACACCACCCGATATCTGGCTCTTATACCATTTGTAACGGCCCAAGTCCACCGTTAGTAGATATTATCCTCTTTGAGCTTTCTCTTTCAAGATTCCCCTCAAGATTTTTAAAACGCATCTACTAAAGAGAAGTTTCCACACCCATTATAAAGAATGTCTCATTCCCCTCTCCAACTGACGTGGGATCTCACAATCCACCTTCTTTCAAGGACCCAGAGTGTTTGCTGGTACTCATTCTTCTCTCCAATCGATGTGGGATCTTACAATCCACCCCCCTCGGGGCCCAACGTCCTCGCTGGCACACCATCCGGTGTTGGCTCTGGTACACCATTTGTAATGGTCCAAGCCCACCGCTAGCAGATATTGTCTTCTTTGGGCTTTCCCTTTCAAACTTCCCCTCAAGGTTTTTAAAACGTGTACACCCTTATAAAGAATGTTTCGTTCCCCTCCCCAACCAATGTGGGATCTCACAATCCACCCTTTCGAGGGCCCAGCGTCCTCACTGGCACTCATTCCTCTCTCCAATCAAAGTGAGATCTTACCGTCTAAGACGTTATTACCCCACAAATACCAACAAATGACCTCAACTAGTATTGACAATGCATACATGACACAATCTTGCTTCAAGGTTCTTGGTCTAACTATTTTAAATTTGTTTAAGCATGACAGAAAACAAAATGAGACTTTAGCTTCTACTAACCTATATTAACAACGTCAGATAACAAATTATAGTATAAATGTTGAACATCAACTAAATGGAAAACAACAGATGAACATGAATCAATAAGATGTTTAAAGAAACATCTCATTACAAAGAGTTTGAAAATGACATTTAAGAACTTTTCTAAGGTGTTCTAGAGTGAAGATTTCAAGATCATAAATGAAACTGAAATTTTTTTGCTCTCTTGGCTAGGTGGTTGCAGCATTGAGTTCGAAATCATCTCATTACAAAAGTTTTTCTAAGGTGTTTGATGATCATTGCGTTAAAGGAGCTTAAATTGTTTATACGCTTTCTTGATCCAACAGATCCGGTCGTAAAACTTACATCCTAGAAGAACCTTGCCTATTAGGATACCTATCGAAGTCCCTTAGCACGGTTTCTCAAACTCTTGTCATAGTTGTATTGATGTTTGAAACCTTCCAATATATTCTTTCGTTAATCTTAATTCCTTCTTGCTACTTCCACTCCCACACCCCATTCTCTTTGTCGTGTTCGAGAAGGTTAAAAGTCGCTAAGAAGATTAGGATGGTCAGTTGCTCGTGGCAGAATGACACCATTGACTTGTCTATAGCTGATCTATGGGCTCGGGCAAACAATGGTGGGTCCGTTGTATAAGACAAGGATAAAAATCACATCCTTTCGAGAAGTCACTTTTTGTTTAGTTTAGCTCCAAATGGGGAATGTCCTACTATGATGAAAGATGGAAGAGGTGATTTTCCATCCACCTCGATTCATTTTAATGAATCCCCTCGATTGTTGATTATCCCATGATATTTTCGTTTTTCGCCGAGATCTGTATCGATATCACGACTTTCTTTCTCATGTGAGTTTATGTTTCTTTTTAAACAACAAACTGATAGCAGTGTGTATAAGGTGCACCAAACCAACTGGCATCAGACACCAAAAAGATGCAAAAATTAAGAGGAACTCATATGTATCCAAACTGGCAGGCTAATAAATGGTATAGTGTTTAGTTACTCACCTTAAGAAATAAGATGCTGACGACAGATGCATTTGCCAAAATTAATACGTAATGATTTAACGCTCGGCAGACGTTGCAGCACAAGAGGCTGTAGCACTTTTGTCGTTTAAAGAGTTCTCTGGGCTGCTCTCTCTTCTAACGTGGCCACCCGGCTCATTAGAATCTTGATTTGTAACACCATCATCTCTGGTTTCAAGACGTTGCATCATACGTGATACACTGGCAATTCCTGCATTTACTTCTCTTCGAACTTCGGAACCAAGTTCAGACATGGAAGAGTTGCGTGAGAATAGCCGCTCCTTCCATCCTCTTGTACTCTTCGAAATTGATTCTTTGTACCTTTAGAACCAGAAAGCTCTCAGAACAGCTAATTATAATGTTGTGACTTCATTATGTGTGTAATGTGTGTGAGTTCATATCCATCAAGAATTTAAAACACACATATACCTTGTGGACGCTGCATTAAGTCTTGATTTAAGAGATTCAGAAAATGACTGAAATTCAGAAGGCCCAGCTCTATCCAGATTTGAAGATGGAGAATCACTAGTGGAGATTCTGTGAATGAAGAATCACTATTAATAAATAAATGCTTGCAACAAAGAAGTCATATCAAGATCGTTTGAGACAATTATATACCGAACGCTAGATGAAGCTCCTCGCCGATTGGTTGAAAAGTTGGATCCAGATGCTGAGCGAGAAATTTGGTCAGTCTGAATGGACTGAAACTGTGCAATGTGCTGTGATGGTTCATCCCCACGAGGTGTCCGTGGGCTAGAGGGGCTAGCCATAGTAATCCCTGCTGGATCAGTGCCCCCTTCGGAGGCTGAGACATTCTCAGATGGAGGTCCACCGGGATGAGTGGAGAAAACCAAGAAATGAGGACGTCCATGAGATGATGATTGACTCCTCTGCACTTCTCTTCGACCCATATGGTGTGCCCTCCCCATTGCAGCAGCTGCAGCCAGGTGCTGGATTATTCGCTCTTCAAGCTCGGCATTAGTAACACCCAGTGGTAGCTGCATTAGAAGAAAACATCATCTTCGACAATTCCAATATCTTCAAAACTCGAAAAGGTAAAAAGGCAAGAAGAGAAACGAACATGTTGCAACTCAAAATTGCCAATAGCTGGATGATGAAACACAGCAGTATTCCTCACCGGAGTGACCCTTATATTCCTCTCTCGTTCAACCGCCTCCAACAACTCTTGACTGCCAAAACATAAACACGTAAACAAACGCCATAACATTCAAAACCCGCAAAACAGCAGATGCATCACATGGAAGTAAAAAAGCAAACCTGGTCGGGTCCTTCAGGCTGATAGATTGCCAACACATAGGACATTGAGAACTTCTCTGGCACCTGCATATCAAACGAGCAATTCAATATCACAAGTATGCCTTCGTTGCCAGTCCCAACGAACAATATTATCAACAATCACAGGTAACAGAACAATCAGATTAAGTCACTTCTCAAGAACACAAGAACAAAGTTCCAAATGCATCACACATTAACTCACAATACATTTAACAAAAGATTCCCAAATCCATGAAACAAGAACGATTGTAACTCGGATAAACAGAACAACCAAACTCAACAGGAGTTGCTGGCCAGGTGCATATGATAAACAGTAACAATTTAGAAGAAAGCAACACTTATATCATACCACTCAAGGATGCATTGGAGGTGAAACTCATGCTTGCAAGCAGTAACCTACAAGACAAGAATCATAAGTAATGGAATGTTCATGTTCATGTTCATATTCATACAATCACTGTGGAAATAAGTGGGCATTTTCACTCTTTTTCCCCCACTTTTTGCATCAAGAAAAAAGGAAGGAAGGTACAATCAATAAAGATATAAATGGCTCAATCATTGTACCGTAGAAGGATCACTTTCACAAAAATCCTCAAGGCATATGCTGCAAGCATCATCACAAGCTTCTTGAATTCCCCCTTCCACAAACGCAGCAGCCGATGTCAAACGATTCTCAGAATCCTTCTCTTCCTCCATCTCCAAAACCTAAAGTTCATCAACACCATAATCAATTTAACCCTAATTTACACAAGAACACACAATCCAAATCCGATCAAATCCATCACGATTCACGACTTCCTTGATCAAATAACATAATCCGATTTCACCAACTAGAACAAGATTCGATTTCCATGAATGTCTCGATGAAATTTTGAAATTAAAGAGCGGGAATAAATTAAAGATCATCGCATCGCATCACATTAGAGAACCGTGCAAAATAACTTATGGGTTTACCTCGATTAAACAATTGAGAAATTCCCAGAAGATGGGTTGAAGAAATTCAACGAAAAAAACCCATAAAACGAATCGGATCGAGCTTCAGAAATTCCCCTGTTCCAGAGAAAATCAATCTCTGCTAGGGAAACACATCACCAAATCTTAATAACCCCAGAATCCACCAAGGAAGAAAGAAGAAAAATGATAATCGGAGAGAAAAAAAAAAGGATAAAAGCAAGGCACAAGACAAATGCCCCTTCACCTTTAATAATGGGTATTGATTGTTATTGCTTTAACCTCAATTCCCTTTCTCTCTCTCCCTCTCTCTCTCTCTTGTTTTTGTTTTACTTTTTTTTTTTTTTTTTCCATTAAAGATCTTTTTGTGTGTTGGAAAACAAACCCACCAACAAAGCATTAGAGAGAACCTCAAAAGTCTCATCCTTCACACCCACTTCCATAATTGATTACAATTATCCAATCCCAAAATCAAAAACCTCAAAACAAACCTAATTCTACCGATTAACAGAATAAAAATATAATCTTTATTATAAATATTTTAATAAAGTTTACATATTTAGAGTGATTTTGTACCCATTTAAATTTTTATACGTGATTTTTATAGATTAAAATAAAAAATAATTTTGATTATATTAAAATTTATGTGGATTTTTTTATTTTGTTTTACTATATATAAAATTATGTTTGATGAATATAATTAAATGTCATTAATATAATATCAAAACAAAAATAGCAAGTGATTTAATTTTTAATTTTAATATATTAAATTATTTACCTGTAAATTTAATACATTTTATATCACTGCTTGTATAAATTATTTTATTGAAAAATAAAAATAAAAATAATGTAATTTATGATTTACTCTTTGTCATTTCAAATAATTTAAATAATTATTACATATATTTAAACGTATGTTTTAAAAATAAAAGGACAAAATGAATAAAAACTAAAAATAAAAACTAGGCATAAATGCTTAAGGAAAAAATAGAAGAAAATAAATTAATTAAGCAAAAAGTGCTATTTTTATTTATTGATTTTATTTTAAAATTTTATATTAAACGATTGTTTCAAAAAATTGACGACTCAAAATTTTTTTAAAATAAATTAAATTAAATCAAATTAATCTAATTTTATTATTATTCTTTAAAAAAATACATTTTTATTTATGATAAATCATATATAAATATATTTATTTTACTTTTATTTAATTTTTTATTTTTTATTCTCTTTTGAAAATAATTTTTAGATGTCATTTTTCAATATATATTTAATTTAAGTTATAAATCTTAATTATAAGTATGTTTTACCGACTAACATCTTACTTAAATTAATAAATTATTTTTTATAGTTTTTCAAATTATTTTAAAATTAATTATTAGTGGTTGAATATCATTATTTTATATTTCTTTCAAGAATCTTTAATTAATATATAACAAAAAAAAACTATTATAATATACTATCATTTAAATATAATATAATATTCCTTTTTTATTTATTTGTAAATACATTATATATATATATATATATATATATATATATATATTTTTTTTTTTTTTTTTTTTTTTTTTTTTTTTTTTTTTTTTTTTTTTTTT